TTTTACTATGTTCCCTCCATGGTGTATAATATTTGTCCATTCATTAATAAAATGACAGGGTATATAATGACATTAAGACCAAACAGTCACACTACGATTGATTAATCATTGACAGTACCTTCGCTACGGCCGTCTGTCAGGTGTGTATTCGAAGGAGGTTGTGAGCAATCCCAGCCTCCTTTGTCATTTCGTGTTTTTAGATAAATATTTCTGCAAGAAATGACTAATCATTGAATGCGTAATAATGCGATCGATACCTGCCTACGCCTAGAAATAATAACACGTTGAGAAACACGATTAATTGCCTTCTGTGCGCGGTAATGATGTGCGCTTTACACGGACTAGATTAGATTTGATTTCTTTAAGCAACGAGTTTTCTTAAACGATGGTAGACAACGGAGGATCAATCAACGTTCGGTTAGCTCTAGAGTGAGTTGGGTGCTGTTTGTGAAAGAATAAAGCGGCAGCGCCAGCCATCACGCCCTTGGGGCGGATGCAGGATTTGGAGATAGGGAGTGCATGAGAGTCCACACCACGAACATTTTGAGAATATGGACTTCTAGGTTCCCGGAAATTGCACTTTCATACAATTTAGGGAGGTGCGATCGCATCGTCACCCCCTGCATCCGCCCCATAGGGGTATATGTTTTAGCCCTGACCCCTTCGTTGGACCCCGCTGGCATTCGCGAGCAATTGAAAACCCCCTTGTCGGGAAAATCCATGTGTTTACGTTACCATTGGGTCAATGCCGTAGCCAGCTACTGGGACAGTTGGGACAGTCCCACAAAAGTTTTCTACTGGGTCCACAAAGCCGCGATGGGTTCACATTTTAAAAAATGGGTCTAATATACAATTTTATGCAAAATGAGTCCAGATTTTTCATATTTAGCCTAAAATGGGTATTTTTTTAGAAAATGGGTCCAGATTTTTCATATTTTTGTGTAAAATGGGTCAACTTTTAAGAAAATGGGTCCACATTATTTGAATTTATGCGTAAAGTGGGTCCACCCTGATATTGTCCCTGTTTGAAAATCCTGGCTACGGCATTGTATTGGGTGTATTTTAGACCAGACTAGAAAAGATGGCAATAGCACCGTGGTGGGGATATTTGGGGGAAATTCCCTCAAGGGGAACATTCTCTCAAGGGGCCGAGCATAGGTCTGGCACTCAGTAAAGAAATAGTTATGAAAAAGGTACCGTAATCATTTTGAGTGACTATTGTCTATACCTACGGTCCATGTACCTCCGTTAATACCCTGACTGCTCCAGGACCCAGATTGGCGGAATACACGGTGACTGTCATCCTAACTTTTGGATATCAGAATTTTGTTTAGCGAACTGTCGTAATAAAACATTTAAAAAATTGTTTAATATTCTGAAGTGTCTTGCTTGCGAAAAAAACGACCTTCGTGCTGTGTTGAAGTGTTGTGAAATAGTGACTTGGTGGTTTTAAAACTCCATTATTGAGACACAAATTTACCATTCCCTTTATCCTTGTTTTTGGATTAAAAACGAAACAGCAAACAAAAAAAGAAAAAAAAATAACTATAGACAATTTATATTTGTTAGGGTATAATGATTGATTTGCTTTCTTTAAGGCTAATTTATATTTTCACCAACGTTACGACAGATTTATTGAACAAGAGGATCAAATTCCATTAGCAATAAATACATAATAAAGATAAGAGGCTTTACATTTACAACAATACTCTCCTCAGACCAATAACAATTCGGCGGCGAATGTAACTATATTCCTATGTGACGTAACGCGATGTTAGGGTAACATTTTTATGGCCCAGGTTTGTGAAAACGCATGAATGTGTTCATATTATAGCAAAGTTGGATAGTGATATTGATAGAAAATAATATTAACTAAGGCTATTCCAAAACATGACTCAATAAAAGTTGCAACATTGAGAATCATGGCCTTTCTTTATCGGTAGTTTTGTTATCCTTGTTTAATCGCGGATGGCAAATATCGGTTACATGTTTAAGTGTCCAGTAGTAATAACAATAATAATTTAGGCCTACTATAAATATTATATAGGCTAAAATGTAATGAAAAAGTAGTTCATATCTATAATCAGCTGACATTATGTCAGGTGAAAAAAATGATTATCGTTAACAAATATAAGCCTGATAGTTAATATTATAATATTGATAATCATGCTGCAGTGACTGGCTAAAGATTAAGTACAACGTTCTGAAGTATAAACAAAATTGAGTATAGAGCCATGTTTCTACCATGGACCTATTTTAACCACTTCTTCGACACGATGGACGTTACCAGGCTCCAATACGACACAAGGGGTTCTGTGTTGTTTAAAAAAATGAATGACGTATTGAATATTACTGCATGGAATATTGTTTGAAAAGCTGCATAATCAATAATATAGGTCTACATCCTTTCTAACTGGCTCCTTCGCAAACGATAGGCCCAAATGTAGGCCTACGCAAAATTGCATTCTCATGCAGTTATTTATTTCTTTGCCTATGTCACTAGACGCAATTGTATTCGTATGTGAAAACCAATTTTATTGATAGGTAGATCACAAAGAAGACTACATGTGGTGTAACATCATAATATACTTTATTGAACGAATAGTGAAAACGAAGACGATGGAAGAAGTAAATTAGGCGATTTCTATGGCGCGTCATCAGCTACAGTTTTATTATTGAATAAACGAAAAACGAACACGAAGTAAATTAAGCGGCTTTCATACACTTCCGTTTCTATGGCGCGTCATCAGTTACAGTGTTTTTCAGTGGCAATAAATTCGTCAGTTATTGAAAGATGTCCTATTGTATAATGACATTTTATGTCGCTATTCTAACTATTTGCAGCAACTAACGAAGTAATAAATTGATAAGATGAAAATAAGGACTCCGCACGGAAGATAATAATTGATTTTTTTCTGAAATAATTACTCGTGATGTTCAAAAATAGAAGAACAAATTGAAGAGGGTTTGGTAAGATTTATCGATCTCAGGATGCTAATTATATATAACTCTTAAGCTTTAAACAATGGATAACTGAAGAACTTCTATAATTTCTTCAAAGTTATCCAGTGTTTAAAGCGAATTATATATAAATTGAATGTTTTTTATTTTTATCATAATTAAAATTGTAAGGCAAATGTGCATAAAACACGACAGTGAAATTGCATTAAGTATACATTATTGATGGCCCAAGCAATATTTGCTTCATAATGAAATCTAATAATAATAAAATCTTTTAAACATATGAGCCAATAAGCATCAGTTCAGTCTAATTTCACTGTGACTTTAGATCCCGACGAATTATTATGCACCGTGTTCCACAATGTCATTACGGTTAGGCCTACACCATTTTCAAACTTAAAAAAAAAACACTATTTATCCTAAAAAGATTCGAACCCGGTCCTCCCGACATTTGGCATGTTTATCATAACATTTCACACTGACGTCATTGTGCTCCTGGCTTGTATCACTTTACTGTTTTATTTGATGCGATGCTCATAAGTGAACTTGTAGGCCTAGACAAAATAGTACCTCGTCTGTGGATTAGGCTACTCGTCAGGTAATTGGGGCGGCTCCGGTATCATATTCAGTAGGCCTATGCAATTCCTACATAAGAAGTTTAAGTTCGGAAGCTAGCGCAGGAGGAAGGAATTAAGTCAGGAAGAACTCAGTTCATAATATACAGGAAGCAGACGTTAAACTATAATAATAACGAAAATGTAATAGGCCCTATATAATATTATTTTAATGATATGATTTGATTTTCGTTGAACATTTTGGCCGGCTTTCACGTCAGAAAGATGCGGGTCCGAGCCACGGTGTCCATATGGTGAATGTGTAAGCCTAACCCACAGACAGACTGGGTAACAAAATGTGAGAAAAAAAAACTCCATTATTGGAAAATTCGATCTCTGGGTCTAGCTGGGCCATGGGCAGGCCTATCATTAGTTTCACTATAGACCTAAATTTAGACCTACAGGCTACGTTCAATCATAATAAAAATGAAAGCAGCGTTATATATTTAGCTGGTAGAACTCATCTTTTGCCTGCTCAGTATTTTCGTGATAATTGGTGAGCACACACTCTAACTCTATAATAGGAGATGAAAAATATAGGCCTAATTGTAAAAGTTAACCTTTTACGAGACTGACAGTAGATGATGGGTAATACGAAGCCTATGTGTGTGCGCGTTTCAGTCATTTATATGAGAGAAAGTATCTGGGGGTTAAATCTGCACGTACAGTATATCCTATAGGTCTCTGTGGTATAATGGATATGACACTCGCCCTGACAACGAGCGGTTGCAGGTTCGCATCCCGCCAGACACAACTGAATTAAAAACCAACTTTTCGTTGAATAGATTAAATCATCTTGTTCGTATCTGAGCACTGTTATTATTATTTATACATTTGTTATATATATATATATATATATATATATATATAATATTTATACATTTGTTTATATATATATATAATTTGTACATAGGTCGTAGGTACAATATTGACCGTTACCCGGGGTTGAAACGTCTAGGCCTATAGGGTGTACGGTACATCTTTTGTTATAATCTAATTACGAATACTTGGTTTCCAGTGGTAGGCGAGATCCATCCAAGGGTTACAAAATTATATCTAGGCCCATTGATTGATTAAAGAACAAAATTAACCGGCTCGATCAGCTGGTAGGTCGTTGCCGTGAAGGTATTGGTTACTGTTGACCACTTTACCTGTATGACTATACCAATGAATGCCAAATAGTACTAAACAATATAAAGGCCTATAGCGTGATATAACTTACATTATTCCTGAATGATATTTGAGTGTATGTTGCTCTGGCGACGACAGCAAAAGTTTAGGTAAAATAGGCGTAAACATACAATGCAATTCCAAATAAATTTTAGGACGCGTCGAGCTGTGCTTTAAATCGCTTATTAATATTGATACAAAATGGTGGTAGGGCGTATAGCACTGATAAATGATAAAGATAAACAAATAACGTACCTTAGTCAGCACAGGTGATGATCCGTTTACTTTACCGCGTGTGTACACACACACCGCACTGAGCACACAGCATACAGGTAAAATATTCTTGCTTAATGTCGGTTTTAAATCCCAATGTGTAATAATATTTTCAGGAGTTTTTATTCGTTGATCGAGAAAAAAAAATGTTCCTAATAAAAGAGAATGTCCCGTAATGATTTAAAAGCACGGAGAACACGTTTTTGTGGATAAATATAAGCAATATCGGCACGTTCGTATAACTATAGATGTAGATGTATAATTAGTCAATATGGCACATGGAATAGACATGCATGAAGCTGCCCGACAAGGCCAATCGATATTTCTCTAGCGCATGAGCACAGAAAAGCATTCGGCAATCGTGCTTATTTCGTATACTTGCTGTTAAGAGAACGTAAGTGCAGAGCATATATGCAGTATTCAACAATACCATTTAATAACAAGAAAGCTTCTAGGCTTTTTCGTGGCACAAAGACATAATTTGCAATTTGGAGCAATGAAGATGATAACAATAGATTGTAACCAACGAAGCGTGTCATGTGGAGCAACAATAATTATATATGCAGTAGGCCGTTTGATATATTTACCAAACCTTCTAACAATAGTGTATGTAGTTAGTTCGGGGCAGGGAACAGTGAATTTGGGGGAAAATGTCGTAGGTTGGCGTCAGAATTAATTTTGGGCCCGCATTAATTTTATTCTTCAATTCCTGTTGACACAAGAGGCATCCAGAATTCTACATTTATTTTGTGACTACCTACACAAAATTCATTCCTGTCACTGTATTCGTAACTGTTGTATCTATTAAAATACCAAAGACTACATGCCAATACACATCGATTTTTTCACTTCTGTCCTACTACTACGGACGAATGACCAATGTGGTCGTTTATCCAGCAGTCGATGTGACGCACCAATAACTCACGAAACATAAAAAAAATCCATCAGTGTTATTCTTCTGGTGATGAATTGGGCAGTATGATCCACACCCGCGGTATTCCGACAAGTCCACCTTCTAAAACGCGGATAACATTCACTCAAAACCCCAGCACTTGGCCTTTCTGACTGCGCAGCTGAAAAGAGAGCAGCGATGGTGAACCAGGGAACAAGATCTGAAATGATCCCAAAGAATCCGATTTAACGCACAGTGTCTACCACCTTAAACTTGAAGAGTTCTTAAGTAGGGCCTATGTATAGTTCATGCGCTAAATGAATTCCACCATGTTTATTATCTTGGATCTGTCTGTTGTCTGTTATCATGTGAACTGATAGCTCTGTCTTTCCAATGTTGCGGAAGTCCTGTTCAGTAAGAATGTCCGGTATTAACCCATAACTCCTCGCAGAGTCATGCTGAATTGCGTAAGGGATGGACGTAGGCCTGGTCGGTGACTACTCAGCAGCCGAAGAGATGCGCATAGCTTCAAGACAGAGGCTGAAATGAACCATCGGGTAGCCCCCACCCCCTTTATATTCCCCGAAATATGCAATAGAAATTAAAATGCGCACGAGCAAATGTGTGTACGCTGGTGCTCCCCGGTTTTAAGTCCTTATATACCAAAGGTTCTATCGACTGAACCCTGGGCGAGGAGGGTCTCGAACCAGCACTGACGAACCCCCTCTATTTACCGCTCTGTCACTCTCCAGTATGACTCTATCTTCTTTGGAATTGAACAACTCTTCGATGTTTAGGCCTATATTGTTTTCATTTCTCATTTTATAAAATAACAAGTTGCAGTTCTCATTTCATATTGAAGATATGCACAGTCACGATAAAACTGAAAGACAGACTTAGCTTGAGTTTAAAAGGGCCGAGACTTAAAAAAAATACTGTTAGAAAAGCTGTGCTATGACAATAAACGAACTTAAATGTCATTCCTTAATGCGTTTATATAGGTCTATGATTATATCAATAAATATTCATCGCATGGAACGAATGTTTGTTGGCTTGGAGCTGGTTTGATGTTTTCTCACCTTCGGCGAAATTGGTGGTCTGGAAATCCCATAAGAACAACTCAATCATATTCCTACACAATCACAAAGGAAGACCCCTATGGACGCTGTAGGAGTAAATTTAACACTATTCTCGAAAAGGCTAGAGGAACAATAATATTATGTTTCATTTTAATGACAGAACGGAAATTTTGCTGTAATAGGCCTAACTGTATTTAGTTTCGACGTCATTATGATTCGAAACCATCAACAACCTTATAATAATGCATTACCAACCGGAGAGATTTGAAATGCGCGACTACACCAGTTTGTTGGGGGCCGGGGTCCGCGGGTTCCAGGGCCGAGCCCCGGTGGGCCCGAGTTTTTCAATCACATTAACAGTTGGTTGTGACAGTGAACACGCAAGACCACACGCGCCAAGTGCGTGGTTGGCTGGTGTTTTTTTTGGTCGAGAAATTTTGTAGGTGATTTGATTCTCGAATGAGAACGAAAGTTCTCTAATGACTCAAGTTGCTGCATGACCGTTTTTATATCGTGAATAAAACATAGGCCTATTTCTTCTAATTTAAACATATTTTCCAATGAATTCGTGATAATTCGATTCGATTCGTGATAATACACATGAAATGAGAAACGACAATGTAACCATGTTTTAGATATTGTCGTAGTTTTAATAGTAATTCTTACGAAAATAATTTGTTTTTCTTTATGATTCCATTTTGTTCACTTAGGCCTACGTTTGTTGCATAGTTATACAAAGTATTGTAAAAGCTTGTCTCACTTTTTAAAACAACTACCGTACCATGCGTTGTATGCGTTGTAACAAGATGTTGTTTCCGTTATATTATTTAAAATACGGTAACCTGACAGAACGCATGGTAACTTTAAGATCATATAATTCATAAACGTATCACTATAACGGAAACCAAGACGCAGTTCAACCATGGAGGAATTCAACCCATTTAGTCTACCAAATCGCTGATATATACTGTATAGGCTCAATGTTATCAGACATCTAAATAGGCCAAATATAGATGTCATCGGCTTTTTGTTAAAGAATAAGTCCTGCTTTCACAAACGCAGACGTCACCACACACACACCCGCCGCTGTATAGGCCTATAGTCCTAAACCAAGTCTATAGGTCCATGATACGACGATATTCATTGGCTTTGGGAATAAACATTTTTAAAAGAGAGATTATTTAGGCCTACTTTTAAAATTATCTTGCCTTATAATTCATTACCAAAATACTTATGTTTACAGAAACAAACTATATTAAACAGATTTATAACGAAGATTACTAATAAAGGCATGCATAAATATATAGGCGATCGACAGATACAAGGCAAACATTCAAGTGTATACAAAACTATGTAACTATTATACACACTCAATTACTAGGCCTACACCATCCCCTGATCGACGGTACTTCTTTTTTAGCGAGACGAGCCATACGTAGACAGACAAATGAAAGCACTAAATACCGTATACAGTGCACCTCCAATTCGAAACCCCTCTAATTCGAGTCCACTTTTTCAAAAAACAAAATAACAATCTTCAATCTTTTTACATTCAGCTAAGCCTACAAATTAGAGACCGAACCCCGAGACCATTCTAAATTTGCAGGTCCTGAAGGTGGTACCGAATTGGATGGCAAACTGTATTTTAACTTAACAACTGACCAATCAGAACATGTTATTTGATAGCCAGAAATACACGCTTGTGCTACAACGTCAGTAAAACATGGTTTCCATACAACCGCTACATGCTATCTCCGACAGCCTTCGGCGATGCTGATTGGTCGGTAGGGTCGGGAAGCCTTCCCAATTGCAATTGCAACGCAGTACGATTGCACTGAAAACACCGTAGCAACAGGGTAGCGATTTTAAGGAAACCGAGTTGTGTATATCGTACATTTTACATTGTTCAAGACCCATAACTTTAGCAACGACTTCCAATGGGCGAGGCTGAGCGGAATGGCCCATTAATCAATCTTCTACACCACTAAAATAGTACAATTACATCATTATAAAAACCAATACGTTTTGTACTTCAATTGGTAGACAAACAATTATTGTTTTTAGTACTGGTACATATAACACTTTTACAAACTTCCCATTTCGAATTTTAAAACTGCTATTGTATTTTTAGGGCATAAGATTAATACATACAATATCAAGATTTACATATAAAATATAGTAAGTAGCTTAGGTTACAGGACTTTTTCGCTCAATAATAAAATAAATTTATATTTTTTATTGAATAAACATCAATTATTGATAAGTAATTTGATGTTTAATACTGTAAATGTTTTATTATTTTATACTGTTCTTTGATCTTAACCATGATGATGAAAGTGGTGATCTGATGATGATAATGGTGATAGCGGTAAAGGCAACGATGATAATGATGATGATGATGATGACGGTGATTATGGGGGATGAAAATAATAATGGCAAAAATTATGATGTTGAAGTATGTAGTGTCACATATTCAACAAAGAATCATATAAAAATTACAAGAATAACAACAAAACACAATCAATAAGGACCATACAAATACACTACTTATTATCATAAAGGCACAATGTATAGGAGCCGTCAATACATTAATATTCTAATGTCAATATTCAGTTTGGTAGTAAGAATTAGCATACAGAATTCTATCCTGTAATCAATGTGACACTTACCAACGAGTTCCATTAATTTTTGGCAGATGTTATTTATACAGAGAGTGCTAATCGTTTGGATTATCAAGAGTTGTGAAAACAAAAGGGTGTATGATTAACAATGAAGGTATTACAGACATATCAATACATTCGTCGCTTCTATGAATTTATCAGTCAACGCACTGAAATGAATTCATTGAATTTCTATGGTAAAATCTACTAAACCCTCATTCATTTAAACAATAAATTACAGTACAGTACTCATTTAATAATAATCGTTTGGATTATCAAGAGTTGTAAAAACAGGCGGGTGTCTGATTAACAATGAAGGTATTACAGACATATCAATACATTCGTCGCTTCTATGAATTTATCAGTCAACAGGGGCGGA